ATACGTCAAAAGATCACAAATCGTATCTAGTCGAAGACATTACCCTTCAAAATTGAAAAAATTTCCCTCGTTCCCCGTAAATGGGGGAAACCTCCAAAAAAATTACAAATTTAAAAATCGCTAATTTTCGAAATTTTTTCAATTTTTTTTACTAAAAACTGCCGTAACTTTTTCAAAAATGAACATATGAATATAATTTTTTTTTATATAGATGCTTGATGTCTTTACCTATTATTTGGTATATTTTTTTTGTAATTTTGACTTTTTTCTCTGACCACAGGGGGGGATTTAAAATGACATCTTTTTCAAAAAGTCATCCCATGTTCTCTATAAAGACAATTAAAATCATTCATTTCTAATGTTTTTAAAGTATTTATTGACGAATTAAGTTTGATATGATAGGTTTCAACTACAAAATTTAATCATTTTACTTTGTAATTTAATAATTTTTTTACTCTATTTGTGTAATTTTTTGGTAACATGTTGCTATATAAATCATTTCTAAAAAAAATGATTGTTAGTTCTCCTGAATTAATAATGGATTTTTACAATTATAATCAAATTTTATTATACGCTCAATTAAGTAAATATTTTTAACAACTTTGTTTTGATTGGTTCATTTAGTTAAAGTAAATCATTAAAATTAATTCAGTTCTGGATATTTCAATAGTAGAATCTTTTTAAATATCAAAAATTACTTAGAAATGATTACTATGATTTCTATTTAAGTGTTCTATTACGATAAAAATGCAAAAAATAATGAGTTTTTCTGATAAATTTACAATAAATAATAATTATAAAACTTTCTGACTGCATATTAATCTTAAAAATAACATTGTTTTAATTCTCATAAAATTTTCTATTTAATGATTCATTCTAGTCAACGAAGGAGTAATTTTGCAGAATAGCAGAAAAAATTCCCAACAAACTTTTTTTTTTTTTGTTTTAATTAGGCAATTGGTGGATTATTCCAAAAGCAACATCAACTCTTATTTCTTTAATTATATCATGATTAGTAGTTCTTTGATTTTAAAATATAATATATGAATATATACTAATTATAATTATTAAATTTAGTATGAAATTGATATTTAATATTGTAATTTAAACGGAGAAATTATAAAAATAATAAAGAAGTTATATTTTGCTTTACTTTTACGTGTATAAAAATTTAAAGGGCTTGATACAATAATTTTCAATAAAAACTGTTTGTTACTATAAAAAAATGCACTGGACTACAAGGAACTTTCATCAGAAGCAAAAATATACTTTTCTAAATCAAATTTTCGCGTTGTTTTCAAATCTGCAAGTAGACTATTTCTATCACTTCTAATTTTTTATATTATTACTAATTATATATATAAAATAATAATTAAAAGAAAAAAAAATTTGTTTTCAAATTATTACTGATTTGATTTTTAATATGTTAAAAATAATCAGTCCAAATTTTCAATTTTAACCTATTTTTTTGGTTCTTTAAAGTTGATGAAAAATTTTTGATAAAGATTTATGAAAGTTTATAGTAAAATAAATTGAATATATTACCATAACTTTTAGCTCAATTACAAGTTTAAAATTGACATCTAGGCCTGTCAACAAAGGAAAAATTGCGGAAAAAATTTTGTTTTTTTAAAAGTTGAATTAAAATATGTATAATGACATACTAATAGTCCTCAAGATTGGAATTGAGCTTTTTTTTTAAATCCTCGCAAAAGTTCAAAAATATGAGCTTTCTTAATTTTCTCAAAAAAAAATATTTAACTTACAAAAAAAAGTTTCGCACAAAAGTTGTTTAAAAGACAATTATAAATAAAAATATAATCTTATATTTTTTCATTTAAACAAATATTTTTCGAGTTACATTACATTTAATATGAGTAATAAAATTTATATTCCATTTTTTTCATTTTACGGTTACTTTTTATCATGTTATACTTACATTAGACACAATGTTATAAATGCATATGTGTGTATGTGTGAGTTTATTTATTTATTGTATCATTAAAGTGTAGTGTATATTGAGATACAACCGATAGAGTAGGTAATTGATTTGACGCTATATTATTTAAACCCAACTAAACGCTAAATTGTACATTCCGAAATAACAATCATATTATGTCAATTGCCACCGGAATATCTGGTAATATTTTTCTTTTTCTTTGCCTTAATCCCAACTACTTGGGGTCGGCCACCCTTATCCTAAGCTTCCACTTGACACGATCTCCCACATCTTCTACGCTCACATCAGCTGTCCTCAAATCGCATTCAATAGCATCCCTCCATCTCTTTTTTGGTCTTCCTCTATCTCTTCTTCCTTCAACATTCATTTCTATAACTGTTCTTACAGCTTTCGATTCTTCTTTCCTCATACCATGACTAAACAATCTAAGTCTATTTTCTGTCATCTTATCCACGATTGACGCAACACCTATACTTCCTCTTATATGCTCGTTCCTTATCCTATCTTCTCTAGTCACTCCACTCATCCAACTAAGCATTCTCATCTCTGCTACACTTATTCTCTGCTCTACTTTCTTATCAACCGCCCAACACTATGAACCATACATCATAGCTGGCCTCACAATTTCATACTAAATTTAAAAACTATAATTAGTATTTATTCATATATTATATTTTAAAATCAAAGAACTACTAATCAGGATATAATTAAAGAAATAAGAGTTCATGTTGCTTTTAAAATATTTCACCAATTTCTCTAAAGGAAACACTATCTACAGATTTGCTTCGAAGCGTTTCTTATGATAGTGATTTTAATCACTGACAGATATCATTATACTTGATCCAACTATGCCACGTCACCACTGTGCCGCGACCCCCCTGTGATGGGTTTTTGTTATATTTATCTGTTCATTACGATCAGTCATACTCAATGACTGTCTGAAAAAATCATCTATTGTTTTTTTTATTATAAACTTTCACGAAAATCAACCATAAAGGATTAACAAAATAGGTTAAATATGTCATTTTTCATATTTTTAACACATTAATAATTAAAATCAGTATTAATTTAAAACAATTTTTGTTTTTAAGTGTTGTGCCCTCACAATTATCGTTTTACTTAGGCAAAAAATTGATTAAATATAATAAGAATAATTGTACAATTAAAAGTGAGTAAATAAATTTAGTATTTATGATATGTAAAGATTAAAAATTATTGATTTGAATATTAAATATTAGTAGATAATATAATAGTAAAAATTTAATAATATCAATCGCATTTGAAAGATAGATTTAAAAGAAAATTATAGAATACAGTAGAAAACATAACAGTATGATATTTTATAAGTATGTATGATGTTAAATATAATATTAAAAGATAAGACAATTTATAATTTTTGTTTTCATTTTTACATTTATATAAAAATAATGTGATAAGACTAATTCAAAACATTGTGAGAAAAAAAAATGTATAATGTTGTCTGAAAAATCATCATTCTGATCAGTTATTAAAAATAATAAGTTCAGACATTTTTCGTTCTTCTAGAATTTTTGCTTTTATAATTATAAGGTATTGCTATTTGGTTCTGTACATGATAATTATAGAAGTGCTATTCAAATTGGAAATCGATGATATTTCTTTATTTTTGGACTTCACATTTTTAGTTTGTTTAGCTGTGTTTCTTTTGAAGCTACAAATGTCAAAATAAAAAAAATTTTGCAAACACAAATAGATTTCTTTTATTTGTTTTTCTTCGTATGTACTGATATTATATGAGCTTTTGATTCCTTGGTTTTTACTGATAATTTGAATTCCGAAGTCTTCATCTGGTGAAGCTGATTCATCAGTGCTGAACTAATAATTATTATTCTAACTACCATTGCTAGTATGAATTGCATTTTCTTAATTCATATTAATCTTTTGTATTTTTTAATGATTTGAAATTGTTGAAACTTGCTTTACAATTGTTATGTTTTTACAAAATTATTTATTATATGAATCAATTATAAAATTACAAATACTGGTTGTATAAATAATACAATGTTTAGAAATATAAAATTAAATTTTAAGACATTCATTGTTTACATGTAAACATGGTATAATTAAATATATATTATATAATAATATTAAATATGGTAAATGAATTTTTATTGACATGCTTAATGCAATTAATTTTCATGATGTTTTAACAAAAGAATGTATGTAGTTTTTAAAAGACCAATAATATATATTTAAAGAATTATAAAATATATTTTTAGAATATAAAATGCTTCTTCTATAATTAAAAAAAATGTTTGGAATATTTTTCATATAAGAATTTAAGTTATAATTAAAAAAGTATAATAGGTTTACGTAATAAAAATGAAACCGTTTTATTAAAATTTAATAAAACGCTTTCAAAATATATTTAATATATTTTGAAAACTTATAGTTTTAAAATCTTGAGTAATTTTCAGTGTATTACGAATGCTATTAAAATAAGTCGAATCTAATTTAAAACGATTTGATGGTTTCATATATTCTTGTAAAAACTTACAATTGAATTGAATAAAGGTAAAAATTTGAAAATTTTCAATGACCTTTAAGAAATTTATTTTACTTTGGATTGATATATGCTTTTTTTCATTTTTCTTATTTAAATTATTGTCTAAAATGACAAAAGAATTTAAATAAATTGTTTGATATTAATTAATGCTGATGTTATAAAATTAAATAATGTATTTGATGTAGTATATTCATCTATTTGTTTGTATAACTCTACTTTCTGTGTTATACTTATAGATTTATTTAAATTTGGAAAAATAAAATTCTCAATTACATTTTCTTCGTCTGCTGCTTTAATTTCAACAATATCATTAAACTGTAAATTATTATATGGTGTTATTATTTTAGAGACTTGTTTGTGTTCAGAGCTTATTAAATGAGATAAAATATTAATTGTGTTGCCTTCCATATCTACAATGGTTGGCTTACTTTGTATGTTAGTGTTTAACATTGTGTTATTGGAATTTACACTTTTTCTATGTTTAGGTGAGTTATTCTCATCAATAATTATATTTTGAATACTAATGTTTAAAAAAATGTAACAGGTCATTAGTTTAATTATTATCCATTTTTTTTTATCTAGACCTGATGCTATTCTAGGCATTACAATGTGATTATCATGATGTTTTATCATTTTAATTTTTAAGTTGTTTAAAGCCTTTTTAATATTCACATATTCTGGTTTTTCGAAGTAATATTTTTTTGTAATTAAAAAATAAATAACTCTACCATTAATGCAGACGGGAACAGCATCATCTGTTTTTGGTTTTAATTTATATAAAGTTGGCGCCATATTACCATATTTGTTACATATGTCCAAGGCTATGCCTTTACTCATATTAAGGTCAACTGAAATACAATGTACTATTGAATAATAATCATACACTGTAACAGGGGCGTACTTAGGTATGTGGTGGCCCCTGGGCGGAATGCATTGTAAGGGTCTCTTTTACATAAACAAGGAAATATATTTTAGCTTCGATGCGAAGCTGAGAAGGTATTGGTTTTACTATGATTTTTTTTTTTTTGTGTCTGTTACCACTTTTTCTCAGCTCTCACCGAACGGATTTCTTTCAACGATACGTCAAAAGATCACAAATCGTATCTAGTCGAAGACATTACCCTTCAAAATTGAAAAAATTTCCCTCGTTCCCCGTAAATGGGGGAAACCTCCAAAAAAATTACAAATTTAAAAATCGCTAATTTTCGAAATTTTTTCAATTTTTTTTACTAAAAACTGCCGTAACTTTTTCAAAAATGAACATATCAATATAATTTTTTTTTATATAGATGCTTGATGTCTTTACCTATTATTTGGTATATTTTTTTTGTAAATTTGACCTTTTATCTGCCCACAGGGGGGGATTTAAAATGACAACTTTTTCACAAAAAATTAACTTTTTCAACTTAACTTTTGAAAATGTTCCGGAAGGTCTGACACTTTTATATATATCTTAAATTAAAGCTAATGTAATGTACTTTAATTTGAAAAAAAAAAATTTGACCTCTGGACTTTTCTTCACGGCGAAAATGGCTACCGAATGCTATTTTCGTGTGAAAATTCTCGATTTTATTATTTATATTATATTTAACTTTATAATGCTATAACTTATTGAAAAGTTTATGGATCCACACAATTTTTTTATCAGAAATAATATTTTTTAATAAACCCTTTTTCATTCGACATACTTTATCTTAATCGAGATATTAAGGGACCAGCAGATCAAGTAGCTTTTGGAATAAAACACCAATTTTTTTAAAATTAAACACTATCTAAAGATTTGCATCGAAGCGTTTATTTTTGATAGTGATTTTAATCACTGTCAGATATCATTATACTTGATCCAACTATGCCACGTCACCACTGTGCCGCGACCCCCCTGTGCTGGGTTTTTTTACTTATTAAATAACAATTATTATCATGTTTGTGATACCAATGTATACCAAATTTGTGGGGGCCCCTGGGCTGCAGCCCACTCAGCCCTCCCCTAAATCCGGCCCTTCACTGTAAACTGATCCATTACTTTTTCAGTAAAATTAGAATTTAATTGATTAAGATTTAAATTATTATCAAGAAATATGGGTAGTTGAATTTGCTGATTCAAACACATTGTTTGTTTATCAAAGTCTAAGACATAGTTGTTTTTGTCTAAAAATTCATTACCAAGAATAATCATACAAGATTATTGTTTTACTACGAATACTCTAATGACAAAATCTACTGATTCAATATTTAAGATAATATTTGTTGCGCCTAAAATATTTAATGGTTTACTGTCAGGACCATATATATTTGAAAAACATTGTGATTCGATCTGATTGTTTGGGATCAAATTATGTGTTATGCAACATATATTTGAACCTGTGTCAATGGTGATAAGAATTTTAATATCATAAAATAAAGCATAAAAATGTAAAGCAATAGGAATGTGACTTTTTTGAGTCACATTATTATTAATATTGTGTGCTGATTTAAAAGGTAAACTGTTATATTTTATAAGCTTTAAATTAAGATATATATAAAAGTGTCAGTCTTTCCGGAACACTTTCATAAATTAAGTTGAAAAATTTCTACTTTCTTTATGCTTTTTTATGTTTTGAATCCCCCTGTATTAAGGGATATGGTCTGATTTAAAAAAAAAGTATTTAGAATGAAAGAAGTATATATATATATATTATTTCTTATAAAAAAATTGTATTGATCCACACATTTTTCAAAAAGTTATAACATTTTAAATTTAAAAATGTAAAATATAAAATTGAGAATTTTAACACAAAAATAGCATACGGTAGCCATTTTAACCGTGAAGACAAAATAAAGACCGACATTTTTTTTTCCATAATAAAGTATATTACATTAGCTTTAATTTAAGATGTATATAAAAGTGTCAGACCTTCCGGAACATTTTCAAAAGTTCAATTTTTGTAAAAAAGTTATCATTTTAAATCCCCACCTGTGGGCAGGTAACGGGTTAAACTTATAAAAAAATACAACAAGTGATAGGTAAAGATGTTAACCATCTATAAAAAAAAAATTATATTGATATGTTCGTTTTTAAAAAAGTTATAGCAATTTTTAGTAAAAAAAATTGAAAAAATTTCGAAAATAAGCGATTTTTAAATTTGTAATTTTGGAGGTTCCCCCCATTTATGGGGAATAAGGGAGATTTGTGATCTTTTGACGTATCATTGAAAGAAATCGGTTCGGTGAGAGCTGAGAAAAAGTGGTAACGCACACAAAAAAAAAAAAACACATCATAGTAAAATTAATACCTTCTCAGCTTCGCATCGAAGCTAAAATTAACATTTTCAACTTAACTTTTGAAAATGTTCGTGAAAGACTGACACTTTTATATATACTTTAAATTAAAGCTAATGTAATATACTTTACTAAAAAATATTTGACCTCTGGACTTGTCTTCATGATGAAAATGACTACCGTATGTAAAAATATGCTATTTTTGTGAAAAAATTCTTCATATTATATTTTACATTTTTTAACATCATGTTGCTATAACTTTTTAAAAAATGTATGAATCAATTTTATTCTTTAATAATAAATATTTTATAAATATTTCTTTATATATACCTCGATGCAAAACTGAGAATATATTTTTTTGTGACTATGATTTATTTTCTCTGCTCTAACTTGACCTACTTTCTTCAACGATATGTCAAATGATTACAATTAGTTAAAGTGAAGATAATACCCTCAAAATTTGAAAAAAAATTCTAATCTATCAATTAAACAGTTACTTGTCCCATGTTATCCATACAGACAATTAAAATCATTCATTTTTAATGTTTTCAAAGTATTTATTGACGAATTGAGTTTGATATGATAGGTTTCAACTATAAAATTTAATCATTTTACTTTGTAATTTAATAATTTTTTTACTCTATTTGTGTGTGCTACTACTAAACTATAATATTACAAATTTTTTGGTAACATATTGCTATATAAATAATTTCTAAAAAAAATGATTGTTTTTTCTCCTGAAATAACAATTGATTTTTACAAATATTATAATATTAAATTTTAAAAATTAATAAATATCAAATTTTATAATACGCTCAATTGAGTAAATCTTTTTAACTTTGTTTTGATTGGTTCATTTAGTTAAAGTAAATCATTAAAATTAATTAACTTCTGAATATTTCAATTATAGAATCTTTTTATACACCAAAAGTTACTAGGAAATTATTACTATTACTTCTATTTAAGTGTTCTATTACGATAAAAATGCAATAAAATATTGAGCTATTCTGATAAATTTACTATAAATAGTATTTATAAAACTTCCCTACTGCATATTAATATTAACGATACAATTTTTTTAATTCTCATAAAATTTTCTATTTAATGATGTCAATTTCAAACTTACCAATTGAGCTAAAAGTTATGGCAAAATAAATTATTTTTTTTTATTATAAACATTCATAAAAATCAACTTTATACGATTAAAAAAATAGATAAAATATGTCATTTTCCTCATTTTTAACATATTAATAATTAAAATCAGTATTAATTTAAAACCATTTTTTTTTGTTCTTAATTATTTTTTTTATATGTAAATACTATTTTTAAATAATATTAAAACTTGGAAGTGATAGAAAAAGTCAAATTACACATTTGAAAACATCGCGAAAAGTTGATTTAGAAAAGTATATTTTTGTTTCTGATGAAAGTTCTTTGTGTATTTAAATTTTTTTGATTTAATCTATTCTAAACTCTATTCTAAACTTTAATCACAAATCGTATCTATTTGGTTTTTTATGACATCAATATTCGCAGGTACACAGCAATGTTATTATCAATGGTAGTAAGGCACATTGTTGTGATTTTATAAATATACTAACTGGCAATATAAAAAGTATATCTATTGATTGTCATACTTGGTAATAAACAATCCGTGACTGTGACAGCAATGTCATAGAAAACTAATTAGCTACCTTTGCTGGGATTTTTAAGTTAGTCACTTCTTTTTCTCAACTCTCACCGAACCGATTTCTTTCAACGATACGTCAAACGATCACAAATCGTATCACATTGAAGACATTACTCTCAAAAGTTGAAAAAAATTCCCTCGTTCCCCATAAATGGGGGAAATCTAAAAAAAAATTACAATATTTTCACAAAAACTTTACTGTTAAACTTAACTTTTGGAAGTGTTCCAGGAAGTCTGACACATTTATATATATCTTAAATTAAAGCTAATATAATGTACTTTATTATGGAAAAAAAAAATTCGGAATTTATTTTGTCTTCATGGTGAAAAAGGCTACCGAATGCTATTTTTGTGTGAAAATTCTCGATTTTATTTTTTACATTTTTAACTTTATAATGCTATAACTTATTTAAAAGTATATGGATCAACACAATTTTTTTATGAGAAATAATATTTATATCTCTTTAAAGATAAAGTATTCGACATACTTTATCTTCATCAGGATATTAATAAGAAAATAGCTGATCATGTAGCTTTTGGAATAATCCACCAATTTTTTAAAATTAATCACTATCTAAAGATTTGCATCAAAGCGTTTTATATGATTGTGATTTTAATCGCTGTTAGATATCATTATATTTGATTCAACTATGACACGTCACCACTGTTCCGCGACCCCCCTGTGAGAGGTTTTTTTTTATTGAAATGATGTAATATTTTTCATGACAATAATTAAACCTATATTATATTTATAAAAACATATTTTCATATTGACAAAGACTCTACAATTGATAAATTTTTTCTTGTGATAAACAATAATTATTTATAAGAATAATTATTTTATTGGTATTAATAAAACATTATCATAAATCGTTAAGAAATACTCTCTATAAAAATTAATTTAGGTTTTCTTTGGGTGAACCTGTGTTTCATTCCAATCACACATAAATAGTATTGTTTTTCTAAGTACACCTGTGTATAATCAGTCTCCCTTATATGCTAGTATGTATTTAGTATGGAAATAAAATAAATTATTAATATCACTATAAAATTGAAACAAATTTTTGTGCGAATATATTTTTTTTCTTAGAATGAGAAACTTTTCGAAAATGAAAATAGCAATAATACTGAATATTCAAGTGTACTTTTATATATTTTTCGCTATCTTGTATACTGAAGGAACAAATAATACAAAAAAAAGCGCTTATATAATAAATAATTTACTACAAATACCCGGATGGAAGAATATTAATGATGTCAAACATATTAAATATAGGACGAAAGACATTTATCCAAACGAAATAATTAATAAACCTGTAACATTATACAATTGCGATAATTTCATACGGCACGCAACAATATTCCTTGGATGTTCTTACAGTCATGATTTAAATGTGATGTTTTTTGCACTTTTTAATTTTCTTGAACATTGTTGTAAGCTACTAAAATCTGATAAGGTTCGTGCACACAAATGTACAGTAACACTTTTAGCAAAAATAATTGAAATTGTTCCAATGGCCAAAATTATGGAAGGAGCTTTAAATGCTATAGAACAATATCATAATAAGCCAATGAACATCCAAAGAAAACATTGTGTTATTTTAAGTGACGTTCTAACATATTTAAAGGAAAATGAAAATTTAAAAAAATGTATTCCTTTGAGTATTGATAATTATTCTATTAATGCAGCATTATTTAGAATTAGGGAAATTATGTTAATAATGAATTTAAAACTTGAGAAAAATACAAGATTTTGTAAACTAATATCTTTAGATTTATTTTCATTGTGGAATTTATGGAATATGGAATTCAACACATTAAACTTTCTAGGAAAATATCAAGAACTATTCATTTTTCTTAGTGACAAAATTAATGATTTAATCTTAACGACAATTTGTAAAAAGTACATCGAACTTGGATTTAAATTTGATTTGAATACAAGTCAGACATTATTACCTAGTCCACCTTACAATGACAACCAAGGTATTGTTATTGAAACAATATAAAACTGAATTAAAATTATTTTTTTATGAACATGTTTAGATACTACACAAAATCCAATAAATATGATACAATATGCCAATGAAGTAAATGCGATGAAAAATATTGTACAAGAATGTAAAGTTTTAATTATATAGTATTCTACATATATTTTAATTTAAATTGAGCTTAATAGTATTTTAATATTTTTAGATATTATACAATACAAAAATTCTATAAATTTGGTGCAACCTACCAATGAAGTAAATAAACAGGATGGAATTAAAAAAGATGGTAATTATTTTATAATAAACTAGTGTACTTTTATTTATTTATAATATGTTATTAAAAAATCTAAAACTTAATAAACAATTTTTATATTAACAAATTTAGATACCACTCAAAATCCAATAAATTTGTCAGAACATACCAATGAATTAAATGCCCTAGAAGATATTCAACAACATGGTAAATCTAGTTTTTAATATTAATTGGGTTTAAATTGAGCTAAAAAACATAATAATATTTTTACATATTACACAATATTCGTTGGTTAAAAAATATTGTGCTGTTATTTCATTTAATCAATTTGATACATCATTTCACAAATCTATTTCTAATAATTTATTTTTTTTTTTAAATTAGATGTCACGTGTGAAGCAAAAGATGATTCAAATTTACAAATTGAATATACTAATGATACGAGACCATTTTATACGTTCATTTAAGTTAATTTGAACAGAATAAATTTTTATATTATCAGTTACTATATAAAACAATTTTTTTAATTTAGTTTATTTGCATTGTTTATTATTTAATAAGAAACTTATCTACTAATGCAAATGGCTTCAATATTTAAAAAAACAGGCTATTTTAGTTTTCAATTTTTTTTTTTTTTTTAAATAAAGGTCTGCCAAGCAATGAGGCCATCGATTTTCATAAAAGTTACACGTATATGCTTACATAGCTTAGCATTACGTAGCTTACATTGAATATAAACATTAACTTATTTTGAAATTTTTACCTCTAAATTAAGTAGTACGACTTTGAATTAGTTATAAATTTTAACTTTTATCTACTAACCCACGCGATATACTGTTGCCGAAACGGTAACAGTGCAGTCTTTCACGCTTAATGTATGAAGTTCAAACCACGGAAATTGAAATGTTTTTTTGCATTTTTCTCTTAATTCTTTTGGAAAAAAATTTAAATTATTTTGATATTTATCAATTTAGATTTAATAATTTCAATAAATTTCAAGGACCTCATTACTGTAGTTTCGTCTTGTGAGAAAGAATTTCTTATTCATATTAAAATTATTTTAGTATTTGGTTTAATTTTGTGCCTGTAATGTATTTTTCTCAGCTTTCATTTAACCTATTTTTTTTAACGATATATCAAATGATCACAACTAGTATGTGTATAAAGATATTACCCACAAAATAAGTTATTTCTAAAAACTGGTTTTGGTTATCATATAAATTTAACAAATGATAATAAATATTTATTCGTATATCACATTTAAAAATCATAAATTTATAATCATGACATATATAAAATACCCAGCACAGAGTGGTCGCGGCACAGTGGTGACGTGGCATAATTGGATGAAGTATAATGATATCTGACAGTGATTAAAATCACTATAAAAAAAAAACGCTTCGATGCAAATCTTTAGATAGTGTTTAATTTTAAAAAATTGGTGTATTATTCCAAAAGCTACATGATCTTCTAGTTGTTTATTAATATCCTGATTAAGATAAAGTATGTCGAATGAAAAAGAGATTATTAAAAAATATTATTTCTCATAAAAAAATTGTATTGATCCATACATTTTTTAAAAAGTTATAGCCTTTTAAAATAAAAAACGGTAGCACAGTGGGTCCGAGGCACAGTGTGGACGAGGCATAGATGGGACAAGTATAGATGATATCTGATAGTGATTAAAATCACTATCAAAAGAAACGCTTTGATGCAAATTTGTAGATAGTGTTTCATTTAGAGAAATTGGTGGATTATTTCAAAAGCAACATCAAATCTTATTGTTTTGATTATATCCTGATTAGTAGTTCTTTGATTTTAAAATATAATATATGAATAAATACTAATTGTGAGGCCAGCTATGATGTATGGTTCATAGTGTTGGGCGGTTGATAAGAAAGTAGAGCAGAGAATAAGTGTAGCAGAGATAAGAATACTTAGTTAGATGAGTGAAGTGACTAGAGAAGATGGGATAAGGAACGAGCATATAAGAGGAAGTATAGGTGTTGCGTCAATCGTGGATAAGACGACAGAAAATAGAGTTAGATTGTTTAGTCATGTTATGAGGAGAGAAGAATCGGATTCTGTAAGAACAGTTATAGAAATGAATTTGAAGGAAGAAGAGATAGAGGAAGACCTAAAAAGAGATGGAGGGATGCTATTGAATATGATTTGAGGACAGCTGATGTGAGTGTAGAAGATGTGGGAGATAGTGTTAAGTGGAAGCTTAGGATAAGGGTGGCCGATCCCAAGTAAATGGGATTAAGGTTAGGAAAAAGAAGGAGATTTTTAACTTGGCTAACCATGGAACACTCGTAGTTGACATACCATGATATTTCTAACTTTTGTAATAAAGGTTACAGATAATCATTTCCATAATAACCTCGTTTAACGTTATTATTATTATCCATGGAAATTAAATCGCGTACTGTTACCAGTAAATAACGTAATAATACAGTGTTCTTTCCGTCCTTTACATTATATACTTTCCATCGGGTGTAACAAACGATAACTTATCTTTAGTACCTAAATCATTTATGGGACACTGATAATATGCAATAAACAAATTTAACGTTTAACTCACACATACACACATTAGCATTTATAACATTGTGTCTAATGTAAATATAACATGATAAAAAGTAACCATAAAATGAAAAAAATTGAATATAAATTTTAGTACTCATATTAAATGTAATATAATTCGAAAAATATTTGTTTAAATGAAAAAATATAAGATAATTTTTTTGTTTATAATTGTCTTTTAAACAACTTTCGTACGAAAGTTTTTTTTTTAAGTTAAATATTTTTTGAGAAAATTAAAAAAGCTCATATTTTTTAACTTTTGCGAGGCTGTAAAAAAAAAGCTCAATTCCAATCAATGAGGACTATTAGTATGTCATTATACATATTTTAATTCATCTTTTAAAAAAACAAAATTTGGTTGGGAATTTTTTTCGCAATTTTTCCTTTGTTGACAGGCCTAGATGTCAATTTTAAACTTGTAATTGAGATAAAAGTTATGGTAATATATTCAATTTTTTTTACTTTAAACTTTCATAAATCTTTATCAAAAATTTTTCATCAACTTTAAAGAACCAAAAAAATAGGTTAAAATTGAAAATTTGGACTGATTATTTTTAACATATTAAAAATCAAATCAGTAATAATTTGAAAACAATTTTTTTTTTTTTTTAATTATTATTTTATATATATAATTAGTAATAATATAAAAAATTAGAAGTGATAGAAATAGTCTACTTGCAGATTTGAAAACAACGCGAAAATTTGATTTAGAAAAGTATATTTTTGCTTCTGATGAAAGTTCCTTGTAGTCCAGTGCATTAATTTATAGTAACAAATAGTTTTTATTGGAAAATATTGTATCGAGCCCTTTAAATTTTTATACACGTAAAAGTAAAGCAAAATATAACTTCTTTATTTTTTTATAATTTCTCCGTTTAAATTAAAATATTAAATTATTGAATATCAATTTCATACTAAATTTAATAATTATAATTAATATATATTGGTATATTATATTTTAAAATCAAAGAACTACTAATCATGATATAATTAAAGAAATAAGAGTTGATGTTGCTTTTGGAATAATCCACCAATTTCCTACTTAAAACAAAAAAAAAAAAAGTTTGTTGGGAATTTTTTCTGCTATTCTGCAAAATTACTCCTTCGTTGACTAGAATGAATCATTAAATAGAAAATTTTATGAGAATTAAAACAATGTTATTTTTAAGATTAATATGCAGTCAGAAAGTTTTATAATTATTATTTATTGTAAATTTATCAGAAAAACTCATTATTTTTTGCATTTTTATCGTAATAGAACTGTTGCGTCTGGTTCAATATGTATAATAAATAAATTGATAAATATGAATGTTTATTAATTGTGGACTGTATCTTTTATTATTATTTTATTGTAAGCTGGCGATTTGTCCGCGCGCATACGTATATCGAGCATAACTGGTCTTATATTGGTCGGCGACCATCATTATTATTGGTATCGCTTAATCGCGTGATAACGAGCGCGAACACACCGCCTACCTTGAAATAACACATTTCAATAGAATCAATATAAAGTACATATAAATAATAAGATTATGACAAACAATTGACCCACATTCATGGCCAAAAATATAAACAATAATTCTGTAAAACATTCTCAGATAAATAACAAATAATTAGAACTTAGAACTAAAATATCATGCTTTAAATAAATTACAAATAATTAAATTAATATATAAATAAATAATAAAAATTAAGGTAACTAAATTTAGCAACAAACATTAGCTGCAGGACACTTTAACAATGAACATATTTTATAATAGAGATACAAATAATATATAATACATTACATACATAAAAAAAAAAAACAACAAGAATTTATATCACAATATTTAGACTAGATATTATTATTATCTTTTTTTTTCAAATCATAAGCATTTTAACATAATTTACTAAACATACATTTTAAACATTTTTAATTATTTGAACTTGCTGTACAATTTCCCTCGAAAGGTAATGGACATAATTGACGAACAGCTCGTTTATATACACCGGTTGCTGTACGGATAGTAGCCACTCGTACGACGCCATCAGAACCACTATGAACTTCCATTATTCTTCCAATTGACCATTTTAAAGGGGGCAAGTTTTCATCACGCATGAGAACTACAGTGTTTTTCTTCAAGCCAAGACCATTTGATTGTGACCATTTTTTTCGCTCTTGTAACTGATTGAGATACTGGTTCTTCCATCTAATCCATATTTTTTGCGTAATTTGAACAACACGCCTCCAGCGAGTTAGTCTGTTCTCCATAATATTCGTTACCTCACGTTCAGGAAAAGCAGATAGTGAGTCACCTATCAAAAAATGACCAGGTGTTAAAACCGATAAGTCACTTGGATCCGTGGATAAAGGTGTCAACGGTCGCGAATTTAATATGGCTTCTACTCGAACAAGTATTGTATATAACTCTTCATAGTTAAACAGAGCATTACCAATCGATTTGAGCAAATGTGCCTTAACAGATTTAACAGACGCCTCCCACAATCCGCCAAAGTGAGGACTACGGGCCGGAATAAAATGCCATTGAATTCCTATATTATTTAATTCATTTTTAACTTCTGGTTTAGCTAAAAGTTCATGCACTTCTCGAAGTTGTCGATTAACCGCAACAAAGTTTTTTCCGTTATCTGAATATACATCCATTCAATAACCACGTCTATCACAGANTACATCCATACAATAACCACGTCTATCACAGAATCTCCGTAACGTATTAAGGAAAGACTCCGCTGTCAAATCGCCTACTAATTCTATATGAATAGCTTTTGTGACAAGACAAACCCAGATACTGATATACGCTTTAGTCTTAGGCGCGTTTCTTCGCAAACTAGATCGCACAAACACTGGACCAGCAAAATCTACGCCACATTTAACAAAGGCTCGCGCTGGTTCGACTCGGTCCTTAGGTAAGTCACCCATGATGGGCTCAAATACAACCGGTTTGTATTTGAAACATTTGACACATTTTCTAGATATATTTCTGGCTATATTACGTCCATTAATCGGCCAATATCTCAAACGTATATTAGCTAACATCGCTTGTGGACCGGCGTGTAATGATTTTTCGTGTTCATCCAGAAATAATAATTTTGTAAAAGCACTATCAGCGGGTAACACTATCGGATGTTTTTGAAAAAATGATAGTGAGACGGCATGTTTTAATCTACCGCCTACCCTGATTATACCATCGTTGTCTAGAAATGGTTTAAGACGAAAAAGTTTACTTTTACTGGACACTAATTTTGAGTTTTTTAAGTCACACAACTCAGTAAAAAATTCTTCTAGTTGCGCTACCTTCACTAATCGTTTAAGGGCATTTTCAATTTCTGTAACTTCAACAGGACCATAAATATTAGTGTCACTCGATAAAAAATTTAACTTCACACGAAGACAATAAGCCACAACATGTAAAAGTTTACTTAATGAAGAAAATAATTTAAAAATTTGATTAAAAGAATTATTTTCCGTTGTTACGAATAAATTAGTAATTACTTTTTCTTCAGACAAATATTCACTTTTAGAATTAAGTTCTTGAAAGTTACTTGGCCATTGAGTATNTTAAGTTCTCGAAAGTTACTTGGCCATTGAGTATGTTCCCCTTTCAACCAACTAGGTCCGTTCCACCATAAATCTAAACCTTTCATTTGTGATGGAAAACAGCCTCTTGACACTATGTCCGCTGGATTGTCGCTGGACGCAACATGCCTCCATTGTGAAACAGACGTTAACTCTTGTATTTCACTTACTCTGTTTCCCACAAAAGTTTTCCAACGAGACGACGGAGATAATAACCAATTTAATACCAGTGTCGAATCTGTCCAATAAAAATATTCATTTATAGGTAACTGTAATTTTGGTGCATATTTTGACATAAGGCGAGCGGCCAAAAGCGCAGCTAACAGTTCGAGCCGAGGTAACGAAACTACCTTTAATGGCGCGACTCTTGATTTTGCACACAATAAATTTATTACTACTTTACCATAAATGTCTGTAGCGCGTGTGTATATACAAGCACCATAGGCTTGCATACTTGCGTCAGCGAACGCGTGTAATTCTAGTTTTTTAATTTTTTCGATGCCGAGAACTAGATGATTGATTTTAATATTATTAATTTGCTCCAGTTCCACACGCATTTTTGACCCATCTTGTTATAATGGAATAGGTAAAACGTCATCCCAGTTTATTTTTTGCAACCATAACTGTTGCATAATCATCTTAAACCTAATTATTACTGGAGCGATTAATCCAAGTGGATCGAATAGCGACGATATTTCGGATAGAACTAGTCTTTTTGTAAATCGACCAGATATTTTTATTGGTTTTATATTGTATTGATAGCAATCGTTCTCGTGATTCCAATATAATCCAAGGATTTTAGTAATATTTTTATTAGGCTC